GACCAGGCTGGGCAACATGGCGAAACCTCATCTCTACAAAAAATACAAAAATTAGCCAGGCATGGTGACATGCACCTGTAGTTCCAGCAACTTGTGGGGGGCTAAGGTAGGAGGATGCCTTGAGAATGGGATGTCCACACTGCAGTGAGCCATGATTGTGCCACTGCACTCCAGGCTGGACAACAGAGCATGACTCTGTCTCAAAAAATAAATAAAATAAATAAAAATTAAATAAAAGAAAAAGACAAAAGGAAAGAAAAGAAACTGTGAGACCATTTGATACATAATTTGGCAGAGTTTATCCATAAATTCTGTGTCTTCCTTTCTATCTCCATTCATAATTCTATACCCTGCGGTGGCCTGGCCAACATAATGATTTAGGTGATCTAGGGTTTAGTCAAACTGGATAATTGATTGTAATTGCTTAGAAATTTACCACAAAATCGCCTGCTTTCTTTGGGATTATCTCCTAACTTTTCACTTCTTTTGAGGGTCTGCACACGCTGTTCTCAGCAGCTACTGGTCCCAGCAGCTGGGGAAGAAAGAAATGCATGGTAGGACAGCTCTTTACCAATTTCTTTTTATTTGCCTAATTCAAAGCTAGTGTTCCTTCTCATATGTACTATCCCCTTGAAAATGTAATAAAATGTTACCTATCACCCATGTGAAAATGAAAGGTTTTAAAATTCCTTCACTCTTAAAGATCCTCCACCCCAAACATCCTTCACCTCTGTCTTCCCCAACATACAGAGACTGTACAGACACAGACACAGTAACTGCCCAATAAGTGTTTGTTGAATAAAATTAGCTGTATAACTTTGGCCCAGAGAGGTTATTTATAATGTGATGGGTTGAGACTGGATGATCACCAAGGTTCCTTACTGCTATTGCTCATCACAGGATTGAATCAAACAAATTACTTTGGAACCAAGTCCCCTAGTGATTAATGTATTGCTTAGAGGCAAAGAAAAATGATGGCAGCCGATGGAGGCTGCACTGCCCTGATCATCCAAGGAGTAGTCTGTGACCCTGATTTGTAGAGAACAGGGTGGCTATTCATTTTCCCTGGAGAGTCTAATTACTCTCCTAAGTACTGAGCTCCTGGAAGATTGAGGCTGTGCCTGTTTTGTCTGCCTGGCACACGTGGTTGCTTGAATATGTTATGAGTGAATGAACTCCCTCTGTCGTATTCAGTGCTGAGAAGATGGGGGCCTTCTCAGGAGGACTGAGACCACCCTTCTTCATCTTCTTAGAGTTATAGGCCTGCCTCTATTGTTTCAAACATCTTTGCTTACTCCTAGAGAGAGCTGGGGAAGAAGCGATGAGTGGGTTGTGTCTGGGCCATTACAGGAATTAGTAGAGGAGGTGCCCCAGGAAAAGGCTCAGGACTGGAGTATGTGGAGCTGTGTGTTTTGTAGATCAAATTGAGTTTGTGGCTCTCTCAGTCTGCAGGAGAATGGGGATGGGAGTGGGCAGTACCATAAACAGATGAAGGAGTTTATTCTTGAAACTCATCTGGGAGGACTCTAAGATTTGTAATAAGTCTTTCACTATGCTTTGTTAATTTAAAAGGGTGAAAATACTCTAAATTTGACTTGTTTGTTTTCTTTAGCGTTTCAGTGTTCCCAACGAGGAGGAGAGCTGGGAATTTCACTTCGTCCAGATGGAAGGGTTGACATTAGAGGAGGTGCAGCTGTTGTTTTAGAGGGCACGCTGACAGCCTAGAGGTGCGCTGACTGCTGCTGTCTCTAATCACCAAGTATTTTCTGCGTAAAAAGAAATGTAAGGGACTGCCATTAGCAAATGTGCATAGTAGTCTACTTAATCCTCATGTTTAAAATTGAAAAATGGGCCAGGCACAGTGGCTCACGCCTGTAATCCTAACACTTTGGGAGGCCGAGGTGGGCGGATCACCTTAGGTCAGGGGTTCGATACCAGCCTGGCCAACATGGTGAAACCCCATCTCTACTAAAAATACAAAAATGAGCTGGGTGTGGTGCCGTATGCCTGTAATCCCAGCTACTCGGGAGGCTGAGGCAAGGAGAATCGCTTGAACCCAGGAGGCAGAGGTTGCAGTGAGCCAAGATCGCACCACTGCACTCCAGCCTGGGCGACAGAGACTCCATCCCCACAAAAATAAATAAATAAATAAAAATAAAAATTGAAAAATGAAGACATTTTAATGGAAATTTAATAATGCTTCCAGACTAATGAACTAATGGAGTTTTGGCTCCACTCATGAGTGTATTTGAAATGTAAGTAACCAGCTACAAAGAATAATGTCTCTTCATTTGATTATGACTACCAATCAAGAGAAGGAGGAATACATTTCTGAGGAGTGAAGCTAAATCATTTGAACTTAAATGAGTACCTGATTTTGCAGCCATTAAAATGAATCAATAACTATGTGGAAATAAAGAAAAAATATTTTATAATATAATACTAAGAAAGAAAGAGGACAGTAGGCCATAAAATGTTAGCAATGTTATGCTATGTCTATGTAGATAAGCATGGGCCATTAAAAATAGCAAACTGGAAACAGTTCATGTGTGGGGGGCAAGATTGGAAGTAATTTTAATGTATCTAAGAAGTGATTTCCTTTATTGTTGTACTCATGTACAAAGACTAAAAATCAGGACGAATCCAGAAAATAAAAACAAAACAGTATTTATTAGGCTACTTCCTGTCGTAGTGAAATTAAACACTAAAAGTAATGTAATCTCAGCTGGGTGTGGCGGCTTATGCCTGTAATCCCAGCACTTTGGCAGGATGAGGCAGGAGGATTGTTTGAGCCAAGGAGTTCAAGACCAGCCTGGGCAACACAGCGAGACCCTGTTTCTATTTAAAAAAAAAAGTAATGTAATTTCAATCTTTTTCTTGATATATGACTTGAGAATGATATTGTAAAAGGAATTCTTCTCTTCAATAAAATGGGTTTTAACATAACTTTAAATTCAGTTAAATCTACAATATTGAACACCTATAGTTGACTTAGGGATGGGGACTTTTTCACATCATTAAGAGTGTTTGTTTAAGGTGATCTCACTGATGGTAGTTCTCAGCCATCTCAAAAACTGCAAGCTAATCAGTTAGACATTCTTTAATGACCCCAATTTTTTCACTTTAATTGCTACCATGTTTTCTGTTTTTACTGATTTTTGCTAAAGCATGTAAGAGTGAATTTATTATAGCAGTAATCTTGTGTTTCTCCTGATTTGCAATAAAGTCAGTCGTTCACCAGCTTTAATGCCTTAACTTAATGAGTAACCAGTGCCCCCCGCCCCCCCAGACCTCACAACTGATCACAACACTCCCATGGGTCATGATACCAAGGGTGAGAATCACCAGAGGGTTTTCCCCAATTTTGGATTTTCCCAACCTGAGACTGAACTATATGAATAAGTTCATATAAATGCATAGTTGAGAGGGCCTGAAGTTGATCAGATCTGAATCTGATCTTTCAAATGTGTGCTAAATTCTTTTTTTTTTTTTTTTTTTTTTTGAGACAGAGTCTTGCTCTGTCGCATAGGCCAGTGCCATCTTGGCTCACTGCAACCTCTGCCTTCCAGGTTCAAATGATGCTCATGACACAGCCTCCAAAGTAGCTGGGATTACAGGCACTGACCACCATGCCTGGCTAATTTTTGTATTTTTAGTAGAGATGGGATTTTGCCATGTTGACCCGCATGGTGGTCTCAAACTCCTAGCCTCAAGTGATCCACCTGCCTTGGCTTCCCAAAGTGCTGGGATTACAGGCGTGAGCCACTGTGCCCGGTGGTGCTATATGCTTAATAGATATTTTTGGGAAAGAAATCTCTGAGATAACTCTGGATTCCTTTTCGCATGAAAGTTGTTATTTGTAGCACCTGACTTGACTTTTCATCCTATATTTTCAAACCACATATTTGCTTGTGTGATTTTTGTTTGAAATGGTCCAATGGATAGTTGAGTCCAAATAGTCAGAATACTGATTATGCTGTTTTCTGTACAGATGCTGTTTATGTAAGAACACTGATTATGTTTACTGTGTTTCCTCAGCCTGCTGAAAATGGACTCAGGGGCTGCAGCACACATGTGTGTGGGAAGTAGCCACCAGGGAAGCAGGGACCAGGGCAGGACAAGCACACCTGAATAGATAAACAAAACATCTATTTATCTTTATATAAATATGCCTACATGTATATAAAAATAAACATATTTAAACACTAAGGCCAGGCGTGGTGGCTCATGCCTGTAATCCTAGCATTTTGGGAGGCCAAGGTGGGTGGATCACTTGAGGTCAGGAGTTCGAGACCAGCCTGGCTAACATGGGGAGACCCCGTCTCTATTAAAAATACAAAATTAGCCGGATGCGATGGCAGGTGCCTGTAATCCCAGCTACTCAGGAGGCTGAGGCAGGAGAATCACTTGAACCCAGGAGGCAGAAGTTTCAGTGAGCTGAGATCACACCCTGTACTCCAGCCTGGGCAACAGAGCAAGACTGTCTAAAAATAAATAAATAAACACTAAAATCACATTTGGTCTTGACCTGTGCATGTGTAGTCAAATTCTACTAAATAAATACATTATGATGGGATTTTAATTCATCAAGCTGGGAAGCTTATCATGTCTTGATGATATCTATGATTTAAGTCCATTTTGCCATTTTGTTGACTCTTCTTATTTTTAGTCACTGTGCAGCTTTGTAATGTTTGTTTGTTTCTTTGTTTTTAAGAGAAAAGGTCTTGCTCTTTTGCCCTTGCCTGGTGCCCAGGCTGGAGAGCAGTGGGGTGATCATAGCTCATTGCAGCCATGAACTCCTGGGCTCAAGTGATCCTCCCACCCCAGCCTCCTGAGTAGCTAGGACTACAGGCATGTGCCTCCATGCCCAGCTAATTTTTGAATTGTTTGTAGAGACAGGGTCCTGTTATGTTGCCCAGTCTGGTCGTGAACTCTTGGCTTCAAGTGATCCTCCTGCCTTGGCCTCCCAAATGATTGGCATTACAGTCATGAGCCACTGTGCCTGGCCAGCTTTTTATGTTTTTATACAAATATAAAAAGTGACATCTCTGGGTAGCAACAGCAAAGAGCCTCTAGGGTATACAATGTACAGTGAGTTATCTGCTGATATGAGCAGGGCAGGTTTGAGAGCCCTAATTCCAGATAGGTTTGTTCCTGCCTCTTCCACCTCTGCCCACCTCTTGCCTACCTGATCTTACTGAGAATGGCCAGAGGTGAATGCAGAGGGAGGTTGTGAGAGCTGTTTCTGCTTGTATTAGTCCTTTTTCACACTGCTGATAAAGACATACCTGAGACTAGGTAATTTATAAAGAAAAAGAGTTTAGTGGACTCACAGTTTTACATGGCTGGGAAGGCCTCATGATCATGGCAAAGGTGAAAGGCATATTTTACATGGTGGTAGGCAAGAGAGAATGAGAGCCAAGCAAAAGGGGAAGACCCCTTATAAAACCAGCAGATATAGTGAGACTTATTCAATACCACAAGAACAGTATGGGGGAAACTGCCCCCATGATTCAATTATTTCCCACCACCAGGTTTCTCCTACAACATGTGGGAATTATGGGAGCTACAATTCAAGGTGAGATTTGGGTGTGGACACAGGCAAACTGTATCATTCCATTCTTGGTCCCTCCCAAATCTCATGTTCTCACATTTCAAAGCCAATCATGCCTTCCCAACAGTCTCCCAAAGTATTAACTCATTTCAGCATTAACTCAAAAGTCCACAGTCCAAGCCTCATCTGAGACAAGGCAAGTCCCTTCCACCTATGAGCCTGTAAAATGAAAAGCAAGTTAGTTACTTCCCACGTGCAATGGGGGTACAGGCATTGAGTAAATACAACTGTAACAAATAGGAGAAATTGGCCAAAACAAAGTGGCTACATACAGGTCCCAGACAAGTCTGAAATCCACTGGGGCAGTCAAATCTTAAAGCTCCAAAATGATCTCTTTTGACTCCATGTCTTAATCCAGGCCGCACTGATGAAACAGATGGGCTTCCACAGCCTCAGGCAGCTCTACCCCTGTGGCTTTGCAGGGTATAGCCTCCCTCATGGCTGCTTTCACAGGCTGATATTGTCTGTGGATTTTCCAGGTGCATGGTGCAAGCTGTTGGTTGATCTACCATTATGGGGTCTGGAGGACAGTGGCCCTCCTCTTATAGCTCCACTAGGCAGTGCCCCAGTGGGGACTCTGTGTAGGGGCTTGCACCCCACATTTCCCTTCCACGGTGCCTTAGAGGTTCTCTACGAGGGCTCCATCCCTGCAGCACACTTCTGCCTGGACAACCAGGCATTTCCGTAAATCCTCTGAAATCTAGGCAGAGGTTCCTAAACCTTGATTCTTGACTTCTGTGCTCCTGCAGGCTCAACACCATGTGGCAGCTGCCAAGGCTTGGGGCTTGCACACTCTGAAGTAATGGCCTGAGCTATACCTTGGCCCCTTTTAGCCATGGCTAGAACAGCTGGGATGCAGGGCACCAAGTCCCTAGGCTGCACACAGCAGGAGGGTCCTGGACCTGGCCCACAAAACCATTTTTTCTCTCCTAGGCCTTTGGGCCTATGGTGGGAGGAGCTGCCACAAGGTCTCTGACATTCCCTGGAGACATTTTCTCCATTGTGTTGGTGATAAACATTTGTCTACTTGTTATGCAAATTTCTGCAGCTGGCTTGAATTTCTCCTCAGAAAATGGGTTTTTCTTTTTCTATCGCATCCTCAGACTGCAATTTTTTTGGACTTTTATGCTTTGTTTCCCTTAAAACTGAATGCTTTTAACAGCACCCAAGTCACATCTTGAATGCTTTGCTGCTTAGAAATTTTTTCGGCCAGATACTCTAAATCATCTCCTTCAAGTTAAAAGTTCCACAGATCTCTAGGTTAGGGGCAAAATGTTGCTAGTCTCTTTGCTAAAACATAGCAAGAGTCATCTTTACTCCAGTTCCCAACGAGTTCTTCATCCCTGAGACCACCTCAGCTTGGATTTCATTGTCCATATCATTATCAGCATTTTGGTCAAAGCTGTTCAACAAGTGTCTAGGAAGTTCCAAACTTTCCCACATTTTCGTGTCTTCTTTTGAGCCCTCCAGCTGTTCCAACCTCTGCCTGTTACCTAGTTCCAAAGTTGCTTCCACATTATTGGGTATCTTTACAGCAGTGCCCCACTCCTGGTACCAATTTACTGTATTAGTCCGTTTTCATGCTGCTGATAAAGGCATACCTGAGACTGGATAATTTACAAAGAAAAAGAGGTTTAATGGACTTACAGTTCCACATGGCTGGGGAGGCCTCACAATTATGGCAGAAGGTGAAAGCATGTCTTACATGGTGGCATGCAAGAGAGAATGAGAGCCAAGAAAAAGGAGAAACCCTTTATAAAACCAGCAGATCTTGTGAGACTTATTCACTATCACGAGAACAGTATGGGGGAAACCGCCCCCATGATTTAGTTATCTCCCACCAGGTCCCTCACACAAGTTGTGGGAATTATGGGAGCTACAATTCAAGATCAGATTTGGGTGGGGACACAGCCAAACC